TATATATATATATATATATATATATATATATGTATATATATATATATATATATATATATATATATATATATATATATATATATGTATATGTATGTATATATGTATATATATATATATATGTATATGTATGTATATATGTATGTATGTATATATGTATGTATATATGTATGTATATATATATATATATACATACATACATATATACATACATACATATATACATACATACATATATATATATATATATATATATATATATATATATATATGTATGTATGTATGTATGTATGTATGTATGTATGTATGTATGTATGTATGTATGTATGTATGTATGTATGTATGTATATATGTATGTATGTATATATGTATGTATATATATAATATATATATAATATATTTACCTTTTTTTTGCAGTACTTAAACTTTGGTCTTTGAAAGACTCTGGCCAAATAGAAGCCCTGGTTGGTCCATACAAACTGTATGATGCATCTTTTCGTACACTATGTGGACATGGGTGGCTGTCAGATGAAGTAAGACTACTTTCTCTTGGAAATACACATTTTTCCAATGCTGTGGATCTAGAAAATAATTTAAAGCTGCTATTTTTTTTAAAAGATCCTAGATGCTTATCTCCATCTCATTGTGGAAAAAGGCAAGGTATAGATATTTTGTTCATAAAATATATATCCATTATTTGCATTTTGTAATGATTAAATCATACACAATTATGTTTTATTTCAGATACCAATATACCGCATGGATGCAGTAATTGGATCATCTTTATTTCATCTAGGGCAGCACAGGGCTTTTCGAAAAGTAAGTATTTGCTATGCTATACTCCCGTCTAAGTAAATATTAATCAAAACTAACAATGTTTTTTGTCATTTATAAAGATGGCGTTCCCAGAAGCCTCGATTTGGTTGTGCCCTGTAAATGTCGGTGGTCATTGGATTTTAGTGGTATGTTATCTTTGTTCCCAGAACTACATCAATCAATCTTCATGTGGATACTTTTAAAAAGTAACAGATGTCATACTTAATGAACAGCTTGTCAGGATGGATCACAAGGAGGTTATTGTGATTGACCCCCTTGGCCATGAGAGGACTTACCAAAGAAGAATTCTCCGTAATTGGAGGTAGTGTGAATCGGGTCACCATAAGTAAGTTCCTAAGTTGTTTTTATTGTGCTAACAATGTCACTAATTTAAGTATTTACGCTACTACATAGGAATTTCTTGAGAGCCAAAGATGCCAGACAGGGCAACTGTAAGGTCAAAACTCTGCCGCATGGCCTGCAGCCCGATGCCAGCAGTTGCGGGGTCTTGATTTTGAGGGTACCAAGAATACAAATGCAATAATTTTTGTAAATAAGATTTGAAATTTAAGATAAAATTTTTGTGTAGTTTGCAGAAAGCTTCTTGCAGGTGGGAGATCTGCAGTCTGTTAGCAATGGACCTGCTCAAATGTTCCAGGACAGGATGGACATTGCAACAAAACTGCTGCAATGCAAAGGTGAAAAATACATATAGCATACAGTTTCAGTCATTTACACATTCTTATTTTTTTAATATTGTCTCTTTAACCCTCTGGGATTAAGCTAAGATGTTTGGACATGGTGTATGGCAGACAAGACTTAGTTTGTGCATGCACAAAGGATACATTTTGAGATGTAATAGAATATTGGATTACAGGTATGGTATATGGATGTGTTAAATGAGGACATGGTAAGTGTCACGATTACAACATATTCTTCAAAACGAGCTATTATTTTAGTTAAAATTCAAGCTAGACAGTTGGGTTGAAGCAGAACAGTTTGGCACTTTTAAATCATGAAGCCCTGGTAATGGGGGGAAAACCCCAGCCTACCAGAGGCATGAACAACTTGCCCTTTATGTAGTCAGTGAAAACAGACATGAAGACTCAGCACAGTCATGGGTGACCTGGAAGCAGTGGCAGCAAGAAGGAGCATGTGTGAAGGGGCAAACACAATACCCTTTGCTGATAATTAGACAGTTCATTGAAATCAGGTGTGGGTGAGATCATCCTGCTACATTTACCTTGCTATATTTAGTCTGATTGTGTTCAAAGAAATTCTCATTTGTCTATCTTTATATTACAGATAAGGTGGAAGCCTACTGTGTTTCATGCAACATGTTGCACTATGACACATGGTAAAAACACAGCCATAGAATTTTATACTTCCAATGCTTTAAACATGAACTTATAACTGATTTTTTTCCATTCTGCCTCATAGATACAGTGCGACTTCTGTCCAAGATGGACTCACAAAGAGTGTGCCACCCATTTTGTTGACCTTTTCAAATGTAAAAAGTGTGAATTGCAATAAGTGTGTGTGTGTGTGTGTGTGTGTGTGTTTTACTTGGAAATAAAGTTTGTATTACCTTTCTTATAACTTTTAAGTTCTTCATGTTCAGCTTTTTATTCAAATGGAGACTGCTCTTTATAACAGGAATCAGTGAATCAACTATTCTGCTTTCTTTTGCCATTGCACCAACTTGGTGAGCTTCATTGGAAAAAAAATGTACTGATGAATGTGTATCGCAAATTTATTTTCACCACCTAATTCTAAAAAAAAAAATTCATTGAGCATCAAGGATGTCATACCGTTGTCAAAAACAAAAGGTATGACGATCCGACTGTTAAACCACCCATCAGGATGTCATACCGTTGTCAAAAACAAAAGGTATGACGATCCGACTGTTAAACCACCCATCAGGATGTCATACCGTTGTCAAAAACAAAAGGTATGACGATCCGACTGTTAAACCACCCATCAGGATGTCATACCGTTGTCAAAAACAAAAGGTATGACGATCCGACTGTTAAACCACCCATCAGGATGTCATACCGTTGTCAAAAACAAAAGGTATGACGATCTGACAGGTAAAACCACCCATCAGGATGTCATACCGTTGTCAAAAACAGAAAGTATGATGATCTGACAAGTAAAACCACCCATCAGGATGTCATACCGTTGTCAAAAACAAAAGGTATGACGATCCGACTGTTAAACCACCCATCAGGATGTCATACCGTTGTCAAAAACAGAAAGTATGATGATCTGACAAGTAAAACCACCCATCAGGATGTCATACCGTTGTCAAAAACAAAAGGTATGACGATCCGACTGTTAAACCACCCATCAGGATGTCATACCGTTGTCAAAAACAGAAAGTATGATGATCTGACAAGTAAAACCACCCATCAGGATGTCATACCGTTGTCAAAAATAAAAAAAGTATGACGATCTGACAGGTAAAACCACCCATCAGGATGTCATACCGTTGTAAAAAAAAAAAAGGTATGACGATCTGACTGTTAAACCACCCATCAGGATGTCATACCGTTGTCAAAAACAAAAGGTATGACGATCTGACTGTTAAACCACCCATCAGGATGTCATACCGTTGTAAAAAATAAAAGTATGACGATCTGACAGGTAAAACCACCCATCAGGATGTCATACCGTTGTAAAAAAAAGTATGACGATCTGACAGGTAAAACCACCCATCAGGATGTCATACCGTTGTAAAAAAAAGAAGGTATGATGATCCGACTGTTAAACCACCCATCAGGATGTCATACCGTTGTCAAAAACAAAAGGTATGACGATCTGACAGGTAAAACCACCCATCAGGATGTCATACCGTTGTCAAAAAAAAGGTATGACGATCTGACAGGTAAAACCACCCATCAGGATGTCATACCGTTGTAAAAAAAAGGTATGACGATCTGACAGGTAAAACCACCCATCAGGATGTCATACCGTTGTAAAAAAAAGTATGACGATCTGACAGGTAAAACCACACATCAGGATGTCATACCGTTGTAAAAAAAAAAAAGAAGGTATGATGATCCGACTGTTAAACCACCCATCAGGATGTCATACCGTTGTCAAAAAAAAAAGGTATGACGATCTGACAGAGTATGCCTGTCTGACTGACAACATCTGTCAGACAGGCATACTGTGTAATCCGGGTATGCCAGTCTGACAAGGTATGGCGACTGGACAGAACACCGGCCCAAACATTTGTGTGGACTGGGGCCCCTATACCAACCAGTCAACACCAGATAATTCATAATTCCATGGCTTTACTATGTGTGTAACATACCCACTATCACAAGCATCTTTTGTAATTAGCTTACATCATACTGGTTTTATAATGACTATTGATGTCAAACTTGCATTAGGATCAAACCAACAAAAATGCTCAAATTTATTTGCATTTTTAAATGCAGAGTGTTACTTAAGTGTGGTATAATTCAACTATTTGAAAGTAACATCCAAATAAAAAAAACACTGAATTTACAGTAAACAAGTTAAGTAGTTTGTTTTGAAAATCTGGAACAGATGTATAAAACGTGCAATCACTATAAAAAAATAAAACCTAATTACACTATAGGAAATATTATATAATTAATTTTTCATATGTGTATATGATGCCATTCATGTTGGTGCAGCTGCAGCTATTGTTCCTAAAGCTGTAAGGTTCTACAATTCTGCACAGAGAACTGTGCAGAATTTTAAAGAGGATGAGTCTGGCAGGCAAGGCTATTTGTACAGCACCTAGTGGTAGAACAGGGGACCGCAGTACTCAAGATCTCAGTCGTCCACATGTTCCTCATTCATAAATTATTTTAACCAATAAATAATTATGTCGGTGGAAAAACAGCTTATTGCTTTATTTGTGCTAAAACCTATAAAAAACACATGTGAATGACAGGAATCAGACATTATATCATGGCTGATCTGTGTTGGAGGACTTTTTACAGAGTGTGCACTCTGGAGGGAACACGTCCTCCGTGAGCGATCTGATCTCAAAGGAGATCCTTCTTGAGCTACGCTGTGATTTGGGATCCAAACTAACTAGAATTTTTTTGTATGTGTATTTCAACTGATCAGTTTGCATCCATCAGTATGACTGCATATTTGCATAAATATGAGGAGTGGCTCCATTTGATGATGTTTATGTATTACAGGCTACAGGGCAACCATCAGTGCACCACATATGGTGAGTGACATATAACACAAACTGAACTGAACCATCATAAACTGAAATCAAAGCTGGAGGAAATAAAAAAAATTCTTAAACACATTTCAAGCAGAGTTTTTCTTTGCTGAACCTGACAGCATGCACATGCATTGGAAGTGTTAAGTGACAAGCTGACTGAAGGAGCATCTGCACTGGATGTGGGCTCAGGGAGTGGATATCTCACAGCCTGCTTTGCAAGAATGGTAACTTGCTTTTAAAAAATCCTGGATCTGACCTAATATTGATGTTCAAGTTAGTATAAAATATACAACATGACAACATTTTTCTATCGCATACAGACAGGTCCTAGTGGCAGAGTGGTTGGCATTGAACACATTGATGAACTGGTGCAAACGTCTGTGAAAAATGTGCAAGCTGATGACCCAGAACTGCTTTTGTCTGGACGGATACGATTTATAGGCGAGTTCCTTTTTCTTTTTCAACTTTTGAGCTTTTGTTTAAATGATTTATTATGTTTTATACCTTAATTGATTTTATAGTGGGAGATGGACGAATTGGCTTTCCAGATGGGGCCCCATATGATGCCATTCATGTTGGTGCAGCTGCAGCTACTGTTCCTAAAGCTGTAAGGTTCTACTTTTGTGAGACTGGAGTAGCTTTACGTATTGTTGAACTAGATTTGACACATTTTTTGCTGTTTGTCTTTATTGACAAAGCTCTTAGAGCAGCTGAAGCCAGGCGGGAGGTTGGTTCTTCCAGTGGGCCCTGAAGGCGGCAGTCAAGTGCTAGAGCAGTATGATCGTCAAAGTGACGGGACCTTTCTTAAGAAAGCTTTGATGGGAGTGGTTTACGTTCCCCTGACTGACAAGAGGCATCAATGGCCAGGGTAAGAAAACTCCTACGACTTGAAATCTATAACCAGAGATTGAATGACTCACTTCTACTTGCTATCCTTCATTGGTTTCTCAGAGGGGAGCTCTGATTGCAGTGTGGCTGCTCCTGCAGGAGGTGGCGCTGGTGCTGCGTCTCTGGGATCCTGAAGTTCTCAGCAAACTGATGTTTTCATAACCCCTCTGCTCCACTGGGCTGACACCTAGCAACAAACCACAGGGATCGTTCTCCTGGGCAGATTGTCTTTGTGGGGAGCTGAACGTATAAGTGACTGAATAAGTGACCTCTGGGTTACAAATTAACCTGTGCCCATAATCCTCAGAGTAAGGAAAACAGTGATGTGGATGAGAAATAACAGATGTGCACAATGTTTATAAAGGGAGGACTGCGGGTCAAAAGAGCTATTTTGAAAAGCAAGTGTAATTGTTGTTTGAAGTGTTTTAGTTACTGGTTGCTGTCATTTTTATTAAAAGCTAATACTGCTGTTGGTAATTTTTAAAGGTTTTATTACAAAGCAATAGTAGCTGGGTTACAGATTAGAATAGAAAATCTCTTTGTTGTTCCTCAGTGGGGAAATGTTGGTGTAAGGTGCCAATTACAGTTGCAACAGGATCAAAAAGAGTAAATAATAAGGAGCTGATAAGATTAAAATATAAAAAAGAAAACAGTGCAGAAATACTTCAAATATTCATATATTAAAATATTGAATACCTATTTTAAGCAAGAAGAATTAAAATTAACATTTTAGATTCCTTGGAAAAATATTTAAATAAATGAAAACAATTAATATGGACAACGCGTTATGGCTTTAACGGGAAATGCAATTAGTATTGGTCAAAATTTCATTTATGCGGCTTTTGTTGGGCTGCATAATGACGTCATCACCCTGCGCATGTTTTAAAAAGGTCCCCCGGTTTATCCTGCTGCTATGCACGTGAGCACTGTGACTGCTAACTTACTGACCTTTCTCGTGGCCCACACTAGCCAAAAAGCTCGTTTTATTTTCTTGTATAACGTTAATAGATTATTTAGTTGCGGTTTTATTCATCTGCCGTTTGAACAAAATAAATTAATGATGGAGCAAGCGGCTAAAAACATAGAAACCCTTTCAGACGACAAGGAGCCAGCGGGAGAAACTACGACAACAAAACATGGAAAACGCAAGAACGAGGAGCTGGATCAACCGGAGACAAGTGGCCGGGGTAAGAGGCGCAGAGGAGCGGGAGGGAAGAAGCTCCGTCCGGGCGAAAGGTACATCCCCCCTCCGCAGAAACGTAACCCGGGCGTCAGCTTCAACCAGGAGCACTTCGACGAGACGTCCTACTACTTTGAGGACGGGCTTCGTAAGGTGTACCCATATTACTTTGATTTTAAAACCTACTGCAAAGGCCGGTGGGTCGGGAAGAGTCTCGCGGAAGTCTTTAAAAACGAGTTCAGAGCTGAGTCCATAGAGTATTATCAGGAAGCGGCCAAAGAGGGTCGCATCCGGCTCAACGAGACCCCTGTGGAGGACCTGTCCGTGGTGCTCAGGGTCAGTGTTCCCTCCTGGAGAATCTGTTGAATCATTTGTTCATTCTAAAATGTTGATAAGTACATCATGAGATGATAAGACTCCTAGTGTTTTGTGACTGAGCTCTGGCCTGATTCTGTTCTACATGGTCCCACCCGGTCTGAAATGTTTGTTCTTTCCTAATTGTCCATAGGATAATGATCTCATGAGGAACACCGTGCACCGCCACGAGCCACCTGTGGTCGGCACGCCCCTGCAGATTCTGGTGGACGACGGTGAAGTTCTTGTGGTTGACAAGCCTGCTTCTATTCCTGTCCACCCCTGTGGTCGCTTCCGCCACAACACTGTGATTTTTATCCTGGGTAAAGAGCATGGCATCTCTGAACTCCATACAGTCCACAGGCTGGACCGGCTCACCTCAGGAGTCCTGCTGTTCGCCAGGACGCTGGAGACTTCAAAGAAGCTGGATCGTCTGGTGCGAGACAGACAGGTAAATTAGGAATTACATGTCCCTGATCAATCCAAGGTACCTAGTTGTTCTCTTGAGATTTACTTGTTTGTTTTAATTTTCAGCTTGAGAAGGAGTACGTGTGTCGAGTAGAAGGAGAGTTTCCTGAGGGTGAGCTGGTCTGTGAGGAGCCCATTCTGGTTGTTTCTTTCAGAGTTGGCCTCTGCCGAGTCGACCCGAAGGGAAAGGAGTGCCGAACTGTTTTCCAGAGGCTGAGTTTTAACGGAAAAACAAGTGTTGTCCGCTGTTTCCCCCTCACCGGACGTACACATCAGATCAGGGTCCACCTTCAGTTTTTGGGGTTTCCTATCCTCAATGATCCCATCTATGGGTCCTCGGCTTGGGGTCCTCACAGGGGCAAAGGGGGGCTTGTTGGTAAGAGCAATGAGGAGCTACTGAAGGCTTTAGTTGAAGAACACCGTTCTCAGGAAAGTTTGCTCCTGCTAGACATGGACGACTGCGTAGGAATTACTAAAGAGTCAGAGAAGTTGTTTGAGGTGACGGACAAACTAGAAGGATTCTCTGAATCTGTGAAAAGTGGAGAAAGTTGTCAAGAACGAAAAGGAGACGGAGTCGATAACAAGCTTGGTAACACAGAAAATGAGTCCATCAAAGAGCCCCAGAACCGTTTAACAGCTGAGTCCACCGTAGACTCAACCCAAACACACGAGTCCACACAGAAAACTCCTCCAGGAACCCGAGACCGCCTGTGTAGTGAATGTAAGCTGGTGCGACCAGATCCCACTAAAAAGGAGCTCATCATGTACCTCCATGCTTTACGCTACAAAGGAGCTGACTTTGAATATAAAACACGGTTACCGGACTGGGCCGAAGAGTCCTGGGAGGAGAACACCCAGAGCCCATCAGATAGACGCCACTGAGGCTTTTTGTTGAGTGGAAACATTTACCTTTTTTTTTTCTTGAAGACCGTTAAAATGAGGCTGGAACAACAAAAACTCAAACACCAGTTTGCTGGAAAATAAAGGTTTTATTTGTGAAAAATTAACAGTTGTAGCAGTGATGTTTTTTCTGTGAGGCAGGTTATTCTGCTGAGTCAAACCCAAGTTTTTTCAGTGAATAGATTTACGATAACGTTTGTTGAAATTTCGTGGCCCTAGGCACGTTTTATTTTCAATTCAAAGTCTTCATGCTAAACCACAATCACACATTTTTGTCTTTATGCTGAACCATAACTATACATCTTATTTTACTTTACACAAAACAGAAAACACACTTTCAGCATGAAAAGCAACCAAGTAAAAGACATTTGGCACGTAATGTTGAAAGATATTCACGTGAAACATTGAATGTGCTTGAGATCGTCTCGGTGCACTAATCTAATTTATAGCGTTTGGATTAAGAAACAAAAATAATCTGAATTTTCTATAATAAAAATACACATTTACTGATGGGGCGAGAGAGTGACTCAAAAAAAATCCAAATGTCTGAATAAAACTTAACTAAAATGCAGGTTGGCTTAATAAATCTGTTGGATGCATCTCTTCACATCAAGGCTGCAGTGTGCACAAACAGAATACTTGTGTTTGTATTTGAAATCCTTTTCTGCCCTTAAGAATGAACACAGAACATCTCTTGACACTGACGCACTTAATAGGATTTCTGCCTCGACTTTAAAACACAAAAAGCACATTGATGGCAGCTGTTTAGCTTTTCTAAGTCACCCTAACAAACATTCTGTACAGTTAATCACATAAAGCACCAAACAAACTGGTTAATAAGAGGCTTTAAATGTAAAATGTAACTTTCTATGAAGTGCAATAATCATATTTTGGTAAATTCACATCAAACTTAACAGAAATGAGCTTTAAAATCTCTATTGCTCACAATCTTCTGAAGTTTGCTGTTGTGTTTAATTTAGTAAATAAATGCCAGCTCCAGTTATCTGATGCATCATCTCCAACTATTGTGCATCACTTGTTGGTTTTTGGATGCAGTATCAGTTCACCCATTCAATAATTATTTTAAAAAAATTATAAACGGAAAGAAAACCAAGAGTGTCCAATTTTGTCATTTTATAGGCAAACAGTTATGACATTATCAAAAGGCTGGATGTAAAACACGGCACATGGATTTTTGCCAGAGCTGTTGGCATTGCTTTAGTGAGGTATTAATGTGATATAACAGGAAAATAGTGCAAAACTAATAAAATACATCAAAATAAATATTCATTTTTATTCATCTGTAATAAATAGCCAGTTGGAATTGTGTTTAGTTCTGAAGTTACATTTATAAACACATTCTAGTCCAGGATCAAATATAACTCTTAGATATAAAATAACCATCAATATTATACAAAAGTAAATTTGTCTGCAATAAAATCACAACTCTGAATTTGTCTACAACCAACGAAAAGCAGCTTTGAGAGCCAAACTCCACCGCTCTATTATTAAGAAATATATCTACGTTTGGATAAAAGCTTCTGGATTTTACTAGTTGCTAAAATTATTATTATTATTTTTTTTTACAATCGACCTGAATTGGTAGAGTGTGATTACACTTGAAATGACCAAAGGCTGTGAATAGAAATGGCTCACTAGGATTAATTCCAGCACGGATCACAGAGTTCGTAAAACTAAACCAGTCTGTGCAGAAAGGTCAGGGTCAATAATTCCAGGCACAAAGGAAATTCAGCAGCAGGCAACGTTTGCATGTCGTTATGGTTTTTGAGTTAGAAGAACTGGTTTTCGGTGATGCAATCCTGCCAGCAACAGTGAAACAAACATGCAATCATTTGTTTTCTGCAACTGGCTTAATTTCCTTTGAAGTGTTTAACAAATGCAAGTAGGTTTTTAAATTTTATTGTAAAAAGTATTTTGTAAACTAGGTGTGGTGTATGCACAGTGTTTGCACAAGCTTCCTCTGACGTTGCTCAGCACGTGTCCTCCCGTTGCCCATCTCTCTTTATCCAAACATCCGGTAAGTCTGGTTTACTGTTGGGTAAAATCACCACCTCCTCGCCCCGGCTGCCGCGGTCCTTACCGCTGGTTTCGTAAACCGTTTCTTTTAGCGAGAGCCTCAGCGTGTCCCTCTTCCTGTTGAGGTGTCCAGGTTGAAGTTGCGGCTCTTCTCCGTGTGCCTGAGGATTTGAAGGCCCTGCTTCAGTGTCACTCAGACACGTTTCACAGGTCTCCTCAGGACCCTCAAAGGAACTCTGAGACAGAGAGGAGAGAGGCCCTTTGTGGTGGCTCCGACTCTCCTTAAAGGCGTTATCGTCTTTGCAGAGAGACGGCTGACCAGCGGTCTCCTCTATGCTTGAGGAGGAGGAGGAGTAGGCAGTATTTCTCCATTGTTTCGCCCCAACTGACTGACCCCTGCAGGTTTTACACAGCAGTCTTCCTGTAGCAACATCTTCTTGCAGCAGGCCTGCTGGGCGGAGGGTGTTTTCTCTATAAGGAGATGAAGTCTGAACAGCTGGTGGTTGGTGACCAATCTGATGACTGCATAGATCACCCGTGCCATTCTTCTCCACATCTCCGCAATATTCAATCTCATCTGAGAGCACAGAGGGCCGGTTGGACAGCTTACTGGTGCACGTGCTGTTCTCAAAGCTGTCACTCAGGCGATAAGCCAATGGCTGCAGCTCGTACTGCTCCGCACCTCCTCCTATGATCTGTCTCTGACTGTGCCGACGCTGGTCGTTGGGGTAAAGGTAACCACCCGGCTCTTTGTCATAACTCCTCCCTCTCGATCTGCCAAACGCCCCGTTAGCAGCCGACGTGGTCGAGGGGTCAGAATGAGAGCTCGGCGTGCCTTCTGTCTGCGCTGAAAAACACTTTAGAGTGATCCTTCCACAATTTTTTCTGGGTCCAAAAAAGCAGCACAGGGACTGGAAGAAGAAGGTTGCAAATCCGCAAGCCACGCATTTCACCAAAAACAAAAAAATCCCAAATTTTCTGATATGCAAGGCTGTGGCAGGTAACATGAAGATCCCCATGAAGAAAAACGCACCAGATACTATTGCTACAGGAGAGCCCATCCTTTTAGTGGCGTGGGCAACTTTTCCAATTTTGTCTGAATGAGGAGCAAGGCTGTACGATATGCAGTAGTTAGCTACAAAGTCGACAGACAAGCCTGCGGCTGAGGATATAAACAGAGCCTCAATGCCACTCAGCTGCCATTCAAGAAGAACGAGGAGGCCAACGGTGACAAACACACTCCCTCCCACAGCAACAGTCGCATAAAGGCTCAGGAGAATGTTCCAGGTTGTCAAAAGGAGCAGGACAAAGGTGACAGCTACTGAGATGCCAGCAACCACCAGAGTCTCTGAGCCGAGGGATTGTTGAAGATCAAACAGAGACAGCTGACTGATGAACCAGCCTTTCTCCAGCCCTTTTGGTGCTCCAGATATTTCTTCCTTGAACCAGGCCAGGATTTCTTTGTAAAACACGTTGGTCCTGCTGAAGTTGAAGCTGTAGAGGTATGTGGTTTTGAATGCCAAGACGAGAGCAGCGACTCTGCCATCTGGCTGAAAGTACAGGCCTCCACTGTGTGCCGAATGGCCCTCGGCATACTTTTCAGCCAGCATTATGCTAAGGCAGCTCTCAAAAACACTTGGAGGGTAGGGGAAGGAGGTGTTGCAGCAGAAATGGAAGGTGTCATCACTTTCTGAGCACCGTTGAAGAGAAACCCAACTCACCAGCTGCTCCACCAGACAGATATGATCCATCATGACATCTGTGTTCTCTGCTGGTGGAGGGGAATAAAAGCTTTGGTTCTGGACTCGCGCACATAGGTCCCTTAGCCAAACCTGAGCTTCAGCTCGACTCATGTTGAAATCAGGGTCAAAAACTAAAGAGCCTTGGCTGCTCGGGTTGAAGTGGTCCCCGTTATCAGTCTGTTCAATTCCCCAAACAAGCGTCAACATGACAGGCGTCTCCTCTCCATTACTCTGCCTCTCAAACATAAACATGTGACGAAACTCTGCATCGTATCTCTCAAAAGGGTGACTGGATCGAAAAAGTTGAGACACCCAGCTGTCAAGGGTGGGTAGCTTCATGCCCGGGGTGATGCAGGACATGTACATGCCCCCGGCCCCAAGCACTGCAAACCAGCACACCCAGATGTACCGAAACTTTACAACTCCGCACGGTAGGATTTTCAGGAATATCAAGTTGGAGGTGTCCGTGAGAGCCTGTTTGGACTCTTTTAGTTTCTGTAGGATGCTGAAGATGCATTTCTTGCGTGAACTCGTGTCCCAGAACCCACTTGGGTTTTTGGAGCAGAAGGGCTTCCACTTTTCCGCCGTCACTGGAGCAGACGGCGTCTTTCTGTAGCGCTCTCGCAGTATGAAAGAGCACGGCAGCCACACTAACGCCACGAGCGAGCTGATGAACGAGGACGTTCCAAGATAAAGAGAGAAACATCTGATTGTTGGGATGCTGCTGAGATAACCGGAGAAAAATGCTGCACTGGAGGTCAGCCCTGATGCTAAAATCAAATACCCCATTTCCTGTAAGGCTCGGTTTACTCTCTTCTCCAGGGGAGCCGAGGGGTTCTGTGTTAGCTGCAGGTTCCAGAAGTCCGAAAAGATAAAGACCTGATTGGAGCAACTTCCTAGGAGAATTAAAGCTACTGAGAGGTTGACCAGGGGGAAGAAAGTCAGGCGAAATGCTACTTTATAAAAGAAATATGAAGTTAGAAGAGAACCAGTGATTGCTAGAACAGATATTGCTACTATAAAGAAGGAGTGGAGATATAGAGCCATGGTGAACAGAAGTGATACAACAGCGAGGACCGGGTATACCGAATCTCTCACTAAGTAATATTTGAACAGGGTCTTCTTTATACCGAAGTCGATGCCAGTAATCGTTGTGTTATTGTACGTCAGATCCCTGCCTTCCAGATTGTTCATGTACATCTCCATCATATGCTCCCCTTTCTCGACAGGTAGGAACAGAAGGCTGTACTTCAGAGTTGGGATTTGGTATTCGACAGTCTGCGGTCCGAGGAAGTCTTTGTCGACGAGGAAGTGCAGGATTTGGAAAACCACTTTGGACTGTGTGCAGCGGGAAGGAACAGAGGGGCAGCTGCCGTGTTTGGGTCTCTCGACGCAGGCCTCCACCAGATCTCCTCTGTGATAGTACAGGGCACATTTCCGAAGAAGGTTCAAAGACTCTGAAACCTGGTGGGAAGAAAGTATAATGGATGTTAGTTTCACCAGCAGAGTCTAGACATAAGGAGATGTTTGCTTAGCTGAAAAATGTTATTGTGAAGTTAGCTTTCATGGCATATTATTAAATGCCAATCATATAGCAAGTTTGGCAACATTATGGGCTCGACACACGGGAGGCGACATCGCCTCTCCTCCATTCATTTTCAATGAGACATGCGCGACAAAGCGATAATCGCGGGTCTCTCTCCTACCAAGCGAAACGCGAAAAACGTGCGTGTGAAAGTTTGCACTCGTGCACGTGTCGTGCACTTACGACCCAGCGACGCGATCCCAGAAAGTTGAAACATTTTCAACTTTTCATCGCTGTCGCTCGGACGAGGACCAATCAACGGAGGTTTCATTCACTGACCAATGAGCGGACAGGATGCTCCGCACATCTCCGAGCAAACATGAAGGAGAAGTTGATTATTATTATGTTTTATAGTAAAATCAGAAGTAAGATTTCACATAACTCTAGCAGCACCTTGTGAAACATCATATCACCACTTTTTTAAACTCTGAACCGCTTAAATAACCTTGATTCCCTCCAACCTGACACAGCCAAACAAAACTACGGAAGTTTCGATTTCGCCATGGAACAGAACGCGTCAACGGCTTTGCCGCTGGCCGCTGCCGTGGATCGCCTCCCGTGTGTAATAAAAGCGACAGCGACAAATTTCGCTGATCGCGGTCGTTTGTCGCCTCCCGTGTGTCGAGCCCATTAGATATTAGGGCTGCAAGACATTGGGGAAAAAAGTCACATTGCAATATTTTCTAAATGCAATATTGCAATGTTAAAGACCAAGTTCACAGAGAAACCATTTTTTACTTGTTATTTTTTAAATATGATTGGTTACTCTGAGTTTCACATGCGCAGGCTGAACAGAAAACAGTCTACACCTATTTCTTGCATTATCTGCCGATAGAAAATAGACCCTTGGATTAGAAAAGCCAGTCAGATCTACGTCTCACTAAAAAGTAGCATTCATGGATTTGTCCAGCTTCTTGCAATGGGGAAGACTGTTATTGATTTAGGAGAGAGCAGAGCAATTCTCAGCTTGTAGAAGCTAACTGTTAGCATTAGCAACTCCACAACATGGCAGAACTCCTTCAGACTTGTGTTATTTGTGGAGATAAAACATCAATGTTGCAAAGCAAACATCATCAGGGACAGAGTCGCGTTGCTGTTAGCATATCAGAAGCTAAATTTCGAAAAACCAGCATATAAGAATCCAAAACACACCATCTTCTGCTCCCCTCTGCTCTGACTGACTTCTAGTTCCTGAAACAGAAGTGCCAGAGCTTTGTTTCCACAGACATCGAATTTAGTATTAAAAAATACGAAAATTTTGAATAGATGACTTGAAAAGCACTATGCTGTGCTGTTGCCATCATACTGATAGTGAACCCGTTGGTGTTTCACATACAACAGGCGGTAAATTACATTTTTCCGGGTCAGCGTCTCTTTTGCAACTTGATACAATCAAGGTAAACACTATTGTCAAACTACTTGGAAATGCAAAATAGTATCCAACTCATTGCTAAAAGCCTCTTATCACAGATAGAACAGACCCCTACAAAACCCTTCAGAAGGGTCCAATAAAATAGTCCACAACAAGTCCTAAATTTACAAATCAACATAATATATGACCGGAAACCTTCTTCAGTTGTGTCTCTAACAAAGTATTCATCACATTTCTTAGCGTACTTATACTAGCTTCAAACTTTTACGCACCGACCTTGGTGTACAAGCTTTCCATTGACTACATACCTGATCCAATAAGTGAAGTGTTACCCCTTTGCTGAAGCAAATTGGCCTAACCCTAAACTGTCAAACAGCCAATGAAATTCAGAAAACAACAAAATCTCACGTTTTACCACAAAACCCAACCACAAACTGAGCTAGAATGATTGTGACCAGTGGATCGCTGCATGCCAGGTGCCTTTAACATAAGATGAGAACACGTTGAGTCCAACAACACATCTGCGATGTGAATATCGTGCCAACGTAAATTGCGATGTCAATGCTCAAACGTAACAATAGCTATGTTTACGTGGGCACAAAGAATTGGAATGAACGCCCTATCAGATCAAAAATTCTTCATGTAAACACGTCAGTCGGAATATTCTGATCCGATTGGAATTAAATTTCTTTCCGATAGAGAGGTGGTTTTTTCCGATCACCATTACGATTGACGTTCATGTACACACCCATTTGGATCGTTGGGGTTCTGCGTGACGTCTTTGCACCTTTGCAGACGCTCAGGACAAGTCGAAAACATGGCAAGAGGGAAACAGAAGTGGTCTGTTCTCTGGAAACACTACGGGAGCTCAATATTGTTAAACGTCTCAATGGCCAAAAGGCTAGAAATGCTGTGTTATACACTCAAGTGCATCTAAAGACACAGGAAGCAGGAATTCACTGAAGTATCGACCAAATCAGAAACTGCTGGAAAGGTAAGTCAACGAACAAAATTAGAGAATAAGAAAATAAATTGAGTGTGAAAAGACGTGTGGACAAGATGGCGTTTGTTTACAACTTTTTATTCCGGGAAAGACAACTCTGCACATGCTCGACCTATTCAATGTGCCTGAACGCTTGGTGCATGTATCATTTCAGTTAGTGTCTGTGTAAACAGAGATTTGGGAATTCCGATCAACCAAGATTTGAATCGGGCAGAGGAGATTTGGCGCATGTAAACGTAGCTATTGTGCATCTCTATTAAATTTCAACATTAGTCTTGGTAACATCTTAAACAACAGAAAGCTGGTGGAACTTTAAGACATCACGAGATAGAACTGTGATCAAATCTTTCAGGGGCTGCAGAAAAGTTGAAAGGCATCGTCATCGTCAACTTGCTCAAGGATTATTTTTAAAAAATGAGAAGAAATCTACAGTACCTGCTGGGAGGTAAGGCTGAGGCAGCAGGAGGCATTCGAGAGGACCGCCAAGTAATTCCCCAGAGACCAGCTCGGACAACAGCCGCCTCCTGGCGCTCCCTCGCCTTCCATACGCTCATACTGCTGGCACACATCCTGGAACTTGGCCTGGGAACGAATCTGATTCATGCAAGAAAAAAGTTTTTTTGAACTGGAGCCCAGTTTTTAAACTAATCTACAAAAAGCAATTAATTTCACATGAGTTCGTGTCTAAAGTTTGTTCTGTAAAATAGGATTAAAGACACTGCATTAAAAAAATGATTTAAAAAACTGAAGTTTTACAAAAGAGCCAACCCTGGATTGCTCCATCTCACACATGGCGTGGATCGACTTTAGACTCCAGAGACTGGCTGAGTTTTCCGATCGGAACACCAGCTGGGCAAAACGCTCGCCTGCAAAGAAAGAAACAGATGACGTCTGCATCCAAGAACGAGACGACCAGCGGTGAATCGTGGGATTGTGGGCTGGTTGGAAATGTTGAAAGTGGTTAAAACTCTTGTAAAAAGCTTTGAAATTAAATACAATAAACATAAAAGAAGGCAACTGACATCATTTGTGTGTTTAATCAGTGCTGAATAGAAATTAGGCTTCGTCAATAAAATACTCAGTTTAGGCTTTAAGTGCGAAAAATAACCTTTGAGGGAGTTTCCTACTACATTTCTAAGGTCTTTAACTTGCTGAGAAACTTAGCTCATGTGTCATGTTTTTGGGACTACTGAATTTATTTACTTAATGGATTATAGAATTTTGTTTGTTTTAGACGTTTCTCACCTGGAGCATCACAGAGGAAGATGTGTTGTGATAAATCTGCAGCCAGCATCCTTTTAGTACGATGTCTGGAGGCAACTTGACTGAGGTTACCTCCCCTGCTGACAAGAGTCGCAGGTCTGAAAAGAGAAAAAATTGTTTTTAAGGCAAAACTCACATTTTAGATCCATTTGTGTTGCCATGTGGGTCCCTACTGCCTTTTTAAACACTCCAAACTCAAAAATAAATTTGTCCATCCATTTACTGTCAGTGTTTAGGTTTAATTATGTGCCTAAAACAAGTCATTTCAAAAAGTCCCCAGTGTGTGATGTCACAAACAGGGAAATTAGCATAGAACCACTTCCCCAGGTTGGAGGAGCAGCGGCTCTACCATGAGCCCCTCCTGGATATTGTAGCTTCTCCGTTGACAAGTGGGGAGATGAGTGGGCGTGGCCAGCTTGTTTTCCATAAAGTGCCTGAAACGGCTCATTCTGGGAGGTACTGAAAATCTCTAGAATAAAACTGCTGAAATAGCTTCATGTGAGAGGGATTTGGTGTAAACAACTTTTTAAACATGTTTTACATCGACTATAGAGCGATTATAGCTTAAGAAAAAAAGTCATAACATGTCGCCTTTAATTTCTTTGGTCCACTTCGGGGTAAGACAACCGCCTTTTAATCAGTTTTATCTTTAACACTGGGGCAAAGTGGTTTCCGTAATACCATGGTGGTTGAATCCTCTGCATCCCCACCCCTGAAATCAGCCTCTTCTGTTTGTTCAGCATCTGGTTGCACCCCTGCCCCCCACGCTTCACTGTGCAGCGACTCTACTGACCTTTTGCTGAGCTGCGGCGGTGAAGGAGACAGAGATTTCCCCAGGCCAGTGTACCCTTGCAGCATGGACAGCCTCGACAGCCGAACTCCAATAGATGTTCCTCGTGGCTCAAAACCCTGGGGAACCAAGAACACGCATAGGCACGCACACACACACACACACACACACACACACACACACACACACACACACACACACACACACACACACACACACACACACACACACACACACACACACACACACACACACACACACACACACCAATAAACATCAAAGAAAATTAAGCAGCAGTGCCATTTGAAACTGCTGAATTTAATCAGTAAAAATGATAAAAACTGAAACATCCTCCGTTTGATTGTTGGTTAAACTCACTTCATTAAGGCAGAGTTATTATTAACATAATAATGTTTTTTTTTCTTATGCAAATTTCTGTTTTTAATCAGTTATTTTCATGTTTTATAATAATTAGTGCTTCTGGAATATAAAATCAAAGCTGTGCTGCTTTATTGATGAGCCGCTTCAGTCTGACTCACTGAAATTGCAGATTTGACAGAAGTAGAAACTGCCAGTGTGACTTATCTCACCAGCAGAGGGTCAGAGATATCTGGTAGAGGGTCGATGAGCAACCCAGCCAGGGAGCACCCGAGCAGCAGAACGACGCAACCGAGAAGGAACGCTAACGGATACTCCACTATCACCTGGGAATAACTGCAAGGAGGAGGCAGTGACACTTAATAAAATAAATAGAACTAGTAGAATAAATAAAAAGCAAAATAATAACACAGAGTCCTTACCTTCTAATGATGCAGTAAAGTCCACCGTCCCTGTCAATGATAAATACATTAATACATATTTTGCACCAATTTGAACTCCTCTAAAAATATTAAAAGTTATGGAACATTTATTGTACATTCCTGCTGTAACTAATAGTAGCACCTAAACGTGGTTTATGGCATGATGCAAGGATGAGTCAGGAATCTCCAGCTCGGACGTTGTGCTCCTTGATGCTCCTCAGCGATCAGATGAGGAGCTCAGAATCGATGTCACTCCTCCTCATCAGAAGGAGCCAACTGAGGTGATTTGGGCAAACATGCATTGGGGCAGATCCAAGGGTCAGCATAGGAGAACAGGAGTTCTCTGCTTAAGTTGTTGCCCTGGCAACCAGGGCATCCGAAGATGGACAGAAGGCTATAGCTGACTTGGCTTGACCAGAATAAACCAGAATACACTAAAGTTCACTACACTGACTAAAACACACACCTCACTCTCACCACGTGTCCCTGTTTCGGTTTCTGAATCCTGCCCTCATTGGACCTGTGCAGCCCGTGGCATTTCCCCGACCCGCGACATGATGTCCGATGAGCAGAACCACAGCTGTGTCCCGATTTCACGGCTAAACCTCCTTCTGTTCCAGGATGGGCTGGAGCTGAGTGGCAGCTGTGGCATCCGCATGGTTTGACTGGACCGCGGCAACAGGAGGGACATTTTCTGAGTGGAGGCGAGCCACGGTCTCCTGTCTGAAGACGCTGGGGAACCTGAAGAAGAAACAAAAGGAGAATTTTTTTTTTTGTAAGCAATAAAACAACAGTTTGGCTCCAAAGTGCTGCAACTATTTAATTGGATGCTCGTAAATCTGGCAGTTACCTGGTGATAAAGCTGGAAGGAGGAAGAGGGTCTGCCAAGGCTGCTGCAGCTGTCACACAGCTCCCCTTCAGACTGGATGATTGTTAAATGGGCCTCAGGAGAGCTGTCGGGGGGGCAGAGAGAAACCACCGGGATGTCGCTGAGAAGAGAGGAGGAAAACAGAAAACATAACAACAGGAGGAATCTGCAGCAACAAGCAAATAAATACAATTAATCCATAATTGATGAGCAAGAACTGCACAGCTCGGCAGAATTAATGAGGCAAGAAATGGATTTGTGTGTAACAAACACACAGAATGTGGCTCCTGGAAGTAAAAGGAGCCAATTAAAAGTGACGAGAGGAGGTGGGAGGAGGAGACACAGAGGAAGAGAGACTATTTTCGCACCATAGCACCTTTTCATTATGTCACAGAGTCGTGTGGCTGTCCACCATGGATAACAGGAGACACTGAGTCGTAGGCAATTGCTGTCAGGAGGAGGCTGGAGGCATTTCTCTTTTTTTGGAAACTTTCTCATGAACTTAGTAAATATTGCTGTTTTTGAGTGATTATTATTATCCTGGGTTTACTTAAGGTTAATAATAATAATAATAATAGCCCTTTATTGTCCATCATTCGAGAAATTACACACACACACACACACACACACAAACACACACACACACATATATATATATATATATATATATATATATATATATATATATATATATATATATATATATATATATATATATACATATGTGTGTGTGTGTGGAAAGAAAAATAAGAATAGAATAGAGATTGTAAATTATTTACAGCATGGATGTAGTAATGACACAAAAATATTATATAAGATGTTATAATAGCAACATGAGTCTAGAGATGAAAGTGATCCCATCATTTTTCCAATTAGGATCAATCTGTGAGTTTTTCTGCAAGTCTAAAATAATCAATAATGACTCTATTTGATACCAATAAGCAGAATAACGTAAACATTAAAAATGTCTCTTTTGGGTGGGCTTAATCATAAATACTAGACTGTGCAAGAGGAAAACTCACCAAATATCCTAAATATCATACTAATAATCAGAAAATCTGCTTCGAAATAAAGCTGAACATCAAAATCAGATTTTCCTTCACATGTCTGGGAAGTCCCAAATTTTAATTTCACACCGTTTTTAACCTGCAGAGTGGAGGAAAGCTGCGGGGATCTCTGATATTCAGTAAGAAGCAGAGGAAAGTTTAGAAGGTCCATGAAACAGTGGACGATAAAGGGATAAAAAATGCATGCATAACTAATTAGGAATGACAAGGTGAATAAATATGTAAATATGCATGTCTGTGGATTGTATCTGAGGAAATTGGAGCATCTTCTGGAAAACATGCAAACCAAAAAGAAAAGTTTTCTCCCAGATGGAGGGATGCTGACTGCTGCACAAACTTAGTTAGAAAACCAATTTTCTCATTTTTGCTTGCTCTTCACTTTTTGCTCCAACTATTTTAGGAAGCATGTTTACTTTTTTGTTGCTAAGACTTTCTTTTTTTTTTTAGAAATCCCGAAACTCTGCTGAGACGCTTTCACATCTTAAATATAGAAAATTATTAATAAATTAACTTAGATAAACAACTCCTGACCTGTTCTACAATAAGTCTGCATTATCTAAGGTGCTTATTTTTCCACGTTGAGTCTGGATGCAACTGCTCATCCTGTCGTGTTGCCATAGCAACAGAGAATGTCAACAAAGCCTATCTGACCTTTTACAGTTTTGTTAGCATTTTGCAAATAAGGAGTACAGATGATGAGCATCCTCACAGATTATTAAGAGGTTCAGAATATTTTTATGTATTTATGCTAAAATAATATCACCATAAATGCTAAATCATTTCAAATGTACATTATTCTCTTCAGCTTGGTGTCACAGCCTGTGTTTCTTAAATATTTTTAGCCTCATTAGGTGCTGAAGTGAGTCAGCGGTTTAATATCCGCAAGAGTGATTTATGAAGCTCATGAAATACTTCAGTGGGAGGAAACAAAAGTTTCCAGGAAGGCATCACCAGGTTGACCCCGTGGTAACCCCGTGCTTCTGCAGGGCTCAGATGGGTACCTGCCAAGATGTTTTTGGGTAAATGCACTTAGTTTTAACCTGCTGCAGCTTCTGCACCGAGTTTTAAAGGCTCACTTCTCAGTTTTGGTCACTTTTAACACCCCCTAGTGTCCATTTTAATTCATTTTGGATAAACCGAAAATGAAACTTTGAAAGAACAAACTGATGTGAAGTCAGTCTGAATCAACATTTTTGGTTGAATATTTTAGATTTTAATGCAAATACCATTTACGCAACAAAAACTAAGAATCGGACGCTAGGTGAGGATGTTAGAATTAGGCATTCATGGAACTAAAAGCTGCACCAGCGGTCTGCAACCTTTTCAAGAGAGAGATCCATCCATCTGTCTATCCAATCCAAACCTCATTTGAGTTTATTATTTCTGCAGGAATTTAGGGAAAAAAACAGCTGGAGGTGCTCTTGTTTTATGTGAAGTTGAGCTTTAATTATTTTTAGTCACTCCAGATGAGCCACATATGCTGCAAACCCCTGGTTCTCATGTACAGGTGTGTTTTCATCACCAGGACATGCCACTTCTCCTTTAATGTGAAGTTAACATTCATTCATTCATTCATCTTCCGACCTGCTTATCCCTCAGGTGGCTATAGTGTTCCTTTACTTCATCAATAGTGCAATATTCTAACATATTTACCACAGCCCAAAACTCAAACTGAGCCTCTTTAAAAGTGAAAGATTCTCCCTTTGACTCAGATAAATAACCAGAAACAGGATCCTGCTCAGAGAGGCAGAAACGCGTCCTGTCGCTGAGCAAACAAGACGTCAGCTCCCAGCTGTCTCCAGCTCTGTGCCTGAAGCTTTGCTGCCATTTGGGCTGCAAGTCTGGAGAAAAACATGAGTGATGGGGTGACATTCGTAACCAAGACAACCAGATGAACCAAAGCAGAACTCAGACAAGTGGACGTTTTTTGTCCTGATTTGTGCTGACTGCTGCATCCAGCCTGTCATGCAGAAGGAGGCAGAAGCACAACAAACACCAGATCTATATGTCTTTATCAAAAAAATATTCCATGCATGATCTGCTTTCTGCAGCCTAATTAAAAAACAGATGCAGCTTTAATGTTAAAAATGAAAATTGTGAATAACTGAAACAATCTTTTCAAATCTCACTGGTGAAATTATTAGATGGTAGGATTAAACATTCATTAAAATTAAAATAAATACGTTTTTTCTCTAATTAGGTCAAACGATAACAACCCACCTTTGACAAGCCTGTTGGAGTGCCTTTTCATCAACAGGAGACTCGTCCATCAGTATCGCGTCAGTGCTTTCTCCTATGATCGAACAGGAATCCATCTTTTATCCAATCATTCTTCCTGAACATGATTGAATTCAGACATTTTTATTCATCTGTTTCTCCCAGCAGCTAATCTGTGAGGAGTGCGTCCCTCCATGAGGATCGGGAGGCTTGTTTCTGGGCTGCTGCTACTACACAACAGCAGCAGGGCTGTTTGTGCCCCCAAACTGCACTCTGATTGGACGAGCCGCCGTGAAGCCGAGGACGCTCTGTGTTTGCTGTCCAATCGCGATGGGAGGGGCTCGGAAACGCTGATGTTGAAGCGCTCTGACAGGGATGATGCTGCGTTCAGGTAACTAATAATCTGTGACTTCCTGCAAGCTGGAATCTGGAGAGAAAATGAGAATCAATTTAACAGAGAAGAGGAAAATTGTCCAAATGAACCCAGATATCAAAACTAAGGTATAAAAAATGCATTTAAAATCGTTATTTTGTGTTTATTTGCCTCATTTTATTACCAAAACAAAATATTTTATTCCCTTTTGATACAGCTATAGGAATTGATAGATTAAAATTAATGATTGGTGTATCCTTGCTTCTTAAAATTATTTAAAAGCAGCATTTGGACAGTAAAACTTTATTTAAAGGCCACAAGTACTGCTCCTTAAAACTTAAACTGTTGACTGTACCAGGGTGAACTAAAGCCGCCATGCTTGTGGTTGGCACAGAGCTGAGTCGGCTAATGTGGCTGACTTCAAACACAGCTTCTCTGAAAATGTAGCAGCTCAAGCCTGCACACACACACACACACACACACACACACACACACACACACACACACACACACACACACACACACACACACACACACACACACACACGCACACAAAGGAAAGTGAAGATCTGGTTATTGCTGGTTCTGAGACAGCCATGGTCATTTCCTCTGGCAGATTTCTAGCCTAAATAGTAACGTGGAGGAAAATAACGCATCGTCACAGCTGCAGTGTTTCCTCCAGTCGTGTGGCACAGGAACAGTCAGAAGCATAAAGAGGAAACTAAAGACAAACAAGGAGGACAAAAAGGATAATCTGTCAGTTTACGATCTATAAGGAATAATATAATGAGCTTAGTTTTAAAAATTAACACATTGTTATGAAAATAGTCAGAGTAAATATCTGGTCCATGTCCTTTTTTGAAAATTAAGTTTTAAAATTAAGGGAAAATTTTTACATTGGAAAAAATCAAGTATAGATAGACAATTTTTTTAATGAGGTGTTGATTTTGTGGAAAATGATGTAAAAAAACATAAATACAGGCCCGGATGTAGGCATGGGCAAGGAGGGACAATGCCCCCCTAAAAATAGTAACTCCCCCCCCCCCCCCCCCCCCAAAATGCGATAGCATGTATAAATCCCAAATTTGAAAAGATTTGATGAAAAAGGGTCAGAGTAATACTCCCCCCCCCCCCCCCCCCCATTCAAAGTAGCTTCTGGTTGGCAGATGCATAGGGAGGGTGTGGCCAGCCACTGCACTTCGTTCTCTGTCGTCTCACTCGCTTCACACACTCCCAGAGAGTCAGCAGCTCAACACAGAGACGCACAGTTGTTATCTGAGCTCAGCCACTGGTCAACCACCAGCTGCACTTGGCAGTGGTCCCTGCAATGCAGGCAGAGCCATGCGCAAAAACCTTTTTTGATCTTTCAGGATCTCTACGCTCATTTTTCCACCATCATTATGTTTCACTGAACTATGACGTTCCCTCACTGAAACGACTGTTGGAGATCAGGTGGACAAGCCACCATGAAGTGACCAAGCGCCTTGTGGAGAATCAGGATGCTATTATGAGTATCCTGTCAGAGGTTACAGAGGACAGAGCTGCTGCTGTTGATATCTGTACAGAAGCATCAGGACTGTTGACGATGTTAAGGAGGCACAATTTCTTAGAAATAGGAAAATTCCTCCCAAAGGTTCTGGGTTCCCTGAAGTCTGCAAACTCTATGCAGCAGTCTCATTCTGTTGACCTTTGCTGTGCTTCAGAAGTAGTCGGATCATCTCTGCAGGCTTTGAAGCAGATGAGAGATGAGGAAAGTGAGACATTAATTAGCACACCTGCACCAGCTGCTAAAGACAAAGAAAAACAAGCTCACTGCTAACAGGCAGTGTTGTAATGTCCACTGTGGGCCACGCAGAACACTCCACAACTCCTAGCCAGGCTCTGAAGAGAGCTCTTCTCAACATGTTGGACATAGTCATTGTAGAGATGGAAACAAGATTGGATCTCATGAAAGCCGTTAACTGCCTTCAGCATCAGTCTCCCTCTTCTCTGGATCCTGACATGTTAAGTCCTCTGCAGAAAATGACAGGAAGTGACAGTGACAAACTTTCCAATGAAATTCTTGATGCAAAATAATATTGGAGAAAGAATTAAAAAAGACTAATGATGAAAACAGTGAAGAGTTTGTAGACCTCTCCACCGTTTGCACATATCTACATGGGTATAAGAATGTCTTTCCTCAGCTCCATCGCATGTATGTGACCTCCCTTGAGATTAGAACATCAGCAGCATCATGCGAGAGCTCTTTCTCCACTTTGTCTCGTGTTCTTACCCCGTTCCGCCGTACTACGCTACACGAGAGAAAAAGAAATTTAGTCATTCTGGCTCACAAGAAGGCCATAACAACAGGCCTAGATATGGATGGATTCGTCAGGACTTTTGCACAGAAAAGCAGACGGCTGATGCTGTCACGACTGATAAAAGCCATAAAGAAATAAAAACAACAAAAATTCTAAAAAAAAAAAATAAATAAATAAAAATATATAAAAGTAAAATAAAAAAATTAAATAAAAAATGGAAGGATAGACAGGTAAGATACATAAAATAGATTAAGACATAAAAAGATAAAAAACATTACAAAATTAAAAGATGACAGACAGACAGACAGATGATAGATGATAGATAGATAGATAGATAGATAGATAGATAGATAGATAGATAGATAGATAGATAGATAGATAGATAGATAGATAGATAGATAGATAGATAGATAGATAGATAGATAGATAGAAAAATATTTTACTTATATATTTTTTATTTCTTTTTTAGAATTTTTGGTGTTTTTATTTTCTTTATGGCTTTTATCAGTTATGACTTCAGCCGTCTGCTTTTCTGTGCCAGTCCCAAGCCCGGGTAAATGTAGAGGGTAGTGTAAGGAGTGAATCAAAGGAAAAGGTAGATACATGGATAGAAGAATAATGATGATAGCACAGTTTTCTATGCATTTTAGGGATTTGGGGGTATGTGACACCTGAAAAATTATTTCCCAGACCTGCCCCCCCCCCCCCCCCCCCCATATTACCTGCACCGACCCTGCATAAATAGGTCTAAAAGATAATGGTAGCCTACTTTCAGTGTATTTTTGGGGAATTCAAGTAAAAAAGCAGAAAATCTGTTAAAACCAGGATTTATTGTTTTATCTATGTTTAACAACATGAGTTAATTATTTCAATCATTTTAGCCAAATTACTGAGAGCCTTTTGTGGCTCCAGCAGCAGGTCGCAACCTGATCTAGGCAAAAAAGAAGGAAAGAAATTGTACTTTGCTGCGATCTAGTGGCCTAATTGTAGAAGTGAGCTACTTGATCATTTAACGCGTCTGTTATCATTATTATTATGACTGTAAATTAAGCCTGTTTAACTTAGAAAGTAAAACTCTTCAGCACGGATTAGATGTGTTATAAAACCTGATATAAACAGATTTCGGGTGTTATTGTGAGATTCGTGTTCAGTGACACGCATTTCTTGGTGTAAAACTTTACGGTGGTTCTTGTAAATTCAGCTGTGTGTAACTTTAGAGTGACAACATGAGGTCAGGCGCTACGGGTGTAAAGTTACGAGCCGCTGGACACACCTCCAGAGGGAGTTCCCGCTGAGGAGGCGACCGGGAGCCGAGCGTTCCTCCCCGAGGAAAGTCCTTCCACTCGGAGCGGGGCGGTCGGCTCTGCCCGCGGCTCCGACTGGTTCCAGCAGCAGTGGCCGTGCCAGGGGGAAGCGAGCGCCCGGGATGGGCAACTCTTTACGCGCGGCCGCCCTCCTGGCTGTCGTGGTTCTGTCTGTCCTGGTGTCGCTTCTGATCACCAGCGTGCAGCAGTTTGGAGCGACTTTATCCACCAATGGGACTCTTTCTGATGGAGAGCAGCAGGAGCTGGCGTCGCTCCGCCGGGCTTTGATTTACCAACTCAACCAGAGGCGAAGAGAAATGATCCCGCTGCTGTTACCTGATGATGATGGTGATGATGATAAAGGAGGACGTTCCTCCCAGCTTGATCCAGACTCGGGTTTGGATTACAACCTATGGAATGAGGTCACCCTTGGTTTCGGGAAAGCGCACCCGGATCGGATGGGTTGTGATTCCCTGGTGGACATGCAGGCTGTGGAGGTTCTGGGATCGGGGTACACCAAGCTGGTTGTCAGGGCGAACCTGGCCGGAGGTCAGCCTGTGGCGCTGAAGCTTGTCAACGAGCAGGGCATCGACATGAGCAAGTGTCTGGAGGATTTCAAAGACCCCCGCGCCTGCCGCGAGCTGGTTTCTTACAAACTGCAGAAGGAGATGATCTTGATGGAAAGGCTGCGGCATCCAAACGTCATAAAGGTGAACCTGAAACTCCTGGAGAGACCCAGGACGCATGAGGTGCTGATTTTGTGAAAGTGGCCTAAGTCTGGAACATTTCAGGACTTTCCATGATCCATGCAGCAGCACTCACATTTTCCTTTGTCTCACTCAGTAAAACTAGCTCTGCAGGGTCTTGTCCTGTAATTAAATTAAATTCACTGACCCTTCAGTGACCCTTTTGTCCAGTTTGGCAGGAGCAGCACAATGTGCCTCTGTCCTTCCTGGTTTCATCTGAAACCCCAGGCGCTTACTCACTTAAGCCATTACAGCCCAATTTAAACCCAAAACTAGAGTTTGTGCCTCAGATCAACTCACAGCTGCACAAATTAGCAGAGCATCTGGACCTCTGTTCAAAGTTGTTGATTTCTTAATCCTGCTTGCCTTACTCTAACGAAAGGCCTAAATAAACTGTTATTCACTACAGGGTGGTGTTTGTAAAGTTAAACAGTCTTCGGTTATTTAGCTTGTCTCAACAGAAAAAAAGGAATTAATTTTTCAGAGTCATATTATCACCATGCCGTTCATAAATTTATAAAACCTCACCGTTCCAAACTAAATATTAAGTTTGGAGTTAAGTGTTTAGTATGTAAGCTAAATATTTATTTTGTAAACTAAAATCCTATTTCGTGTAAAAATATGGAGTTTGTAAACATTTTCTTGAAATTGGAGCTGAAATAGTTTTGTTTATACTATATTAAATTTGAGCTATATTTATGTTTTGATCCAAGCTATGCTAGCAATGTTGCAAATTAAATATTTAGTTTGAAAAATGAATGTTTGGGTCAGACCTAAATATTTTACAAACTAAATATTTAGGTTCCCCTCCCCCCCCCCAATTATGTTTAATTTACAACATAAATATTTAGATCTGACCAAAATGAATATTTAGTTCCAAATTAAATTAGCTTGCTAGCTAAATATTTAGTTTGAAACTGTGGCATTTATAAATATTCTAATAACTTGGTGAAAATACAACTTTTTTTTCTCTCTTGTGACGGACTAAACAATCCATAATATTGCTGTAAAATATTTCACCCTGTAATTTTACAAACAGCACCCCACAATTTACTCCTTAGTGACCAGTTTCTTTTTACTTCTGCAGCTCAAGGGTCACTGTGCAGGAGTGCAGGGAGGAGGAGGAGTAGAGGGAGGAAGAGCTGCAGTCATCCTGGAGCAGGGGAATCCTCTCCAGATGATCCAGCTGCTCCAGAGCCCCTGGGAGGACCGATTCAGGGTGAGGCATCTCCACACACGGAGAGGATGGAAATGTTGGCAGAGGAGATGTTTCAGGATGAAAGATAAGGGAGGTGGATGTGTGAAGCTCCTGGAGGTCTGATATCTGCCCCTCAGTTGTATTTGATCAGGCTCTGGAGTTAATCCAACGCTGGCTGGGAATTTCATCTCACCCCAAAACACACAGACACACACAAACACACTCAAACACATGCTTCTGCACACCCCCGTCGTTGCAGGTGTGCTGCAGCGAGTCAACACAAGATACTTTTACCCAAGTAAATCCTTTGGAAGCGTTTCAAAGAAATGATAGCCGAGAGTGACAAACGTAACCAAATATACAGTAATTATCATCTCAGCTGAGGGTGTTTTTCCTGCTGCATCACCCACACAGACGTCCATGATACCCCTCTACAGCCGCTCGGGCCCCTTCAGCTACTGTACATTGCTCCATCGCAGCCCGGTGTTTGGTTTCACCCAACACTCTTTTTTTGTAACGCTCTGTTCTCAATGAGCAACATTCAACAGTCTCACTTTAGTAACTCCACAGCTGCAGGGACAGAGGAAGCATGTGGCTTTTTAATTTTAAATAATTCCAGGTTTCTAAATACATCGTCAGTCTGAAAGGGGCTTGCAGATTTAGTTTTTAATAGTGAAAATGTTCTAATGTATCTTCAAAATGAATAATTGTGTTTTTTTGTGAAGACAAAATTCAGCCACATTTTTCTTTTTTGTGAGAAATAAAAAGATGTTGTTTCAGGGAAGTGACAAACACACCCTTTTTTCATCTTGTTTTGTTATAAAAATATATTTAAGGACCCAGGAAGTTTGTTTGAATGTCCCGTTGTAGGATTTCAGAGATTTTGAATTAATATTTTATTATTTTTAAAAGGCTAAAATTGTAGCAAGATTAAATGTTTATTAATCTCCCCTGATTTATTTTATAAATTGTTATAAAATGATTGAAGTCATCCGGTTTAAGTCATTTTTTTGGTATTGAATTAAAAGAAAATCTCAAATTTCAAACTTCATAGAGAAATGTTGCCATCGAGTGAGTAATTTGACAGTTTTGAGGACATTTTTGCCAACCCTCTCCCCTTTCATCTCCAGGTGTGCCTGGACCTGGTCAGGCTCTTGCACTTCCTCTCCCGCTCTCCTCTGGGCTCCGTGGCTCTGCTGGACTTCCAGCCGAGGCAGTTCGTCACCGTGTCGGGTCAGCTGAAGCTCACGGACCTGGACGACGCCAGCGCCGAGGAGACGGCCTGTCAGACGGACGCAGACTGCACCCTCCAGTTCCCTCACAGGAACTTCACACTGTCCTGCTCGGCCCGCGGTGTGTGCGAGGGCCTGAACGAGAAGAGGAACATCTACAACGCCTACAGGTTAAAAAACAAAACAAAGTGACAGTTTTACTGCATGGATGGGACTAAGGTAGCAGCTTATATGATGATGAAGATAAAGCAGCTGGAAATGTTCAGGCTGATGGGATGATTATGTTCCAGAGATGGGGGGTGGGGGTCCAGCTCTTTGACAGCTTTACGAACTGTTTGTTCTAACAACCCGGTGAGAAAAGTAATGCTCTGTGGGAACGATGTGACGGGGCTTGTCTGGTTTTCTCCTTCTCCTCCTCCTCCTTGCCTGGCTGCAGGTTTTTCTTCACCTACCTGCTGCCCCACCAGGCCCCGCCCAGCCTGACACACCTGGTAGACCACATCATGAACACCACAGGTGAGGCCGGGACTCGTCCTGATCAACCAGCAAGATCAGAGGGCGGATTGTTCCGTTACGGCTGTCGTGTAACGACACGCTGACTATTTTAATTTAATGAGCTCGACAAGATCTTTCCTGACTCAGTAATAAACCCCGGCGGTTATCTGCTGAGGTGAAATGATCTGTTTTGTGATGATGAATGCTTCATGTGTCCAGGGGAGCTGAGGGAGGACATCAATCAGACTCTGGAGGCCTTTGAACACATCCTCCTGCTGTACAAGTCGGGCCTCTACCTGGATAACCTGCCCCCGTCCATAATCAGAGGTACGGACTCCTAAAACAAAAGGAAAAGAGCTTATTGTAGCTTTTGATCCACTTTGTTCCCATTTTGGATCCTGATGGTGAGCTGAAGGGCTTGTTGGGCTTTGACAGGCAGCTGGAATAAAAGGACAGCTCAAACAAAGTGGGATTAATCTTATTTTTTATAAACTCTTGCAAAATCCAAAGGGGTTTGAATGAAGACAACTGGACTTCTTTGGTTTGCTTATCCAAGGAGCTTTGTCAATACTGACTGGAATATGGGAGGGTCAAGCTTATAAGCTGTCTATTGTTAATTAATGAGCAGAAACTACCTATGAATACCCCCTCCCTACCTCCTGATGAGTCATCGGAGTCACTGAGTGCATTTACATGCAGCCAGTAACCCTTTTAAAACCCAAATATTCACAATAACCCTGTTCCGCAGGTCCATGTAAACACCACCAAAAACCCGGATATGCTCATAACCGGGTTTTTAAAAACCCGGTTACTACACCTGGGGTAACCCTTTTCTAACCCGAATGTTTGGTCGTGTAAACGCATATCGGGATATCCCCATCAAAGCGTGTGTTCTGCGCATGCTCTGTTCGCAAGGAATCTTGGTCTTTTGAGTAGCGAGACGTCTTGTATGCGCCAGAACACCGGAAGTAAACAACGAGTTGGAAGCAAAATGGCGAGTCGTGGCACAGCACCACACTTTTGGAGTGACGAGGAAACTAAAGTGCAAACAAACGCGGTCGCTATCTCTTCCGAACTGGGAAACATGTTGTTTTCACGGATACCGGAACAAGAAGAACCGGAAATGATGCATATTGCGTCAGGACGTGTGGACTACGTCCTGACACTACCCCAACGTCCGCATTTAAATCGGGTTATGCAAGTTAGAGGTAAATCTTCCTATTTATGCTTGTAAACGGGTTATTCTGATCAACTCAGAAACCCGAATCCCGACCTTAACCCGATCATATCCCGGATATTGGCTGCATGTAAACGTAGTCATTAGTCTCTACTGTGTGGGAATCACTGTATTGATTAGGTGCAAGAGGGTGTGACCTAGACTGAAAATGTTTGGGAGTTAGGTTCAGAGCTGCATTAAAGGTGCTGGGAAGGTGAAACCTGAGGCCTCCTCAAATGTAATCCTCTATTATAAGCTTGACTATTCCAGTCAGAACTGACAAAGCTCCTCGGGTGAGAAGTGAAGCGTCGTCAAGAATCCAAAGAAGTCCAGTTGCCTTCATTTGAACCCTTTTGGATTACCATAACCTGGATGACTGCGAACCTTCAGCAGCACATTTTCTCCATTCATGCACAGAAATCTCTCCCCTCTCTCGCTCTCGCTCTCTGCCGTCGCTCCACTCAGCCGTATGAAATATTAATAACAGAGCGACTGGCTGCGTTCCTGCAGAGAGGTTTTTTTCCGTTCCCCCAGATGCCGGACTGTTTATATAGCAGCGCTTTGTGAATTTAATCACAGGTTCAGAGTAAAGAGGCGGCCGACGGGGAGGGAACATTTCAGCCTAACGAGGAGGTGCCGGGAGTTGTCCGCCGCCTAGGCAGTGATAAGAGTCAGAAAAATGTGTCTGTTTATTATTTGGACATATTGCACGGTTAGCTGGAACAGAGCTATTTTCCGGGGCAGGCTAGAGGACAAGCTCGGTTTGTTTTTACTTTAAATGGCAGCTTGTTAGCTATGGCCTCCCTGTTTGGCTGTTAGGATGTGTTAACATTTTGTTTAAGCCTCCTAAAAACCAGAAGTTTGTCTCGCTTAAAAAAAAGAAGAAACGATTTTAAAGTAGCAAAACATCACTTTTAGGGTCTTGGTTAGAATTAGGAGGGAAGTGTGTGCTGTGGTTAGGTTAAGCCTAGCTTTGAGTTTGTTTTGGTTCAGCTTAGTGGAATGTCCAAATAAAGAGCGAGAGAGAGAGCGAGAGAGCGAGAACTTAATTTAAAATTGCTGACAGACGAAGAGTCTTCAGAGATGTGGATGAATGTTTCTTTTCCACAGCTGAGATCATCTGGGACGTGATGGAGAATGGAGGCCAGAAAAAAAGACGTAGTGTCTTAACTGAATAGAATTTTTAATTAATTGAGCTTTTTAGCGCTCATAAATTTAAATACAATAATGTTTCTGTGGGATGATTTTAGAAGAAGTCGCTCATTTTTGTCTTTGCCACCATTTAGCTCAAAAACAGGCCTCTGTTCTCTTTACTCAGACTTGAGGGCAGAGCCTCACACACACACACACACACACACACACACACACACACACACACACACACACACACACACACACACACACACACACACACCCTCAAAAGGCTACCGGTTTGTAAGCGTTTGCCTCCTGCGTACGGACGCACAGACGAGGCTTTTGTCCGTTTCTCGACCACGTTTGCGTGCAGACATACGTGTGCTGATGTGGAGCAGATGATTTAACGCCAGGTTCACAGGATGTCTGACTGAAAGAAATATAATGATGAATGTAACACAAATGTTTGGAAGGAGGGAGGTGAAGCAGAGTTTGCTTTTCTTCTTTATTTGAAGGTCAAATGAAGGATTTCCTTTTAGATGAATGCTTTAAACATTACTGATCTAAAGATTACTGTAACAGGAAACGTAAAACTGTAATAACCTAATTAATGTGTTTTGGGGGAAAAATAGATTTAAGTTTAAAATAACTTTTCTCAAACTGCAAGCTAATTTATTATCAATATAAATCCTAATATTATAATAATATCATTTAGTGTAATACATAAATAATAATCTGAGAACACTTGCAGGATTCTGGACTAGATAGTAGTTTGTTCAAACAGTTGCTAAACAGGGGCGGTTCTAGATGGGGACCAGGCTGGGCCAGTGCCCCCCCCCCCCCCCCCCCCCCGACAGCCAGCTTGAACCCTTTATGTTCATGTGTCTTTTAATGGAGCAGGACCTAAAGCTGGGGTCAGGGCCCCTCCGCAGGTCACGAAACACAACAGTTAGGGTCTTGAAATCAAATAAATAATTCATAAAGTAGCAAATATTTCCTATAATTGTTACGAAAGGTAAAGGCAGTGGACATATATTAAAAATATAGAATAAAATTGGAATTAATCTAGCTTAAAAAAATTTAAACATTCATAAATACTTGTCAGTTTTTTTCAAGGTAAAACTTGAATGGAAATATGTGCAGGAACATAATCATGTTCAGAATCCTGTTGAAATAATGCCAACATTTCATGCATTTCTGTATTTAATTAGGTTGTATTTAATTTTTTATAGATCCTTCTGTGTGATCCGTTGTATTTGTATCCCCCGTTGGGATAATTAAACTTTCTTCTCACCCTCAGAGTCCTTTAAAGTCTTTTTAGCAGCCTTGTGTATTGAAGTGGCTTCTCCTTCTCCTCCTGTGTGGATAGATTACACCGTGATGCGAGGAATGGGGACCACTGGGAACGTGGAGTACCGCTGCTGGCCGTCCTACAGCCTGCAGGGCTGCGTTCTCTCTGTCCACAGCGCCAGAGAGGCAGCGTACATCTGTAACTCTCACTCCCAGTGCAGCAGCTTCACTCTGACGGGACAGAAGACATGGACAGGTTAGTAAAACCTGTCACGTTGAGAGCAGGAGGTTTGGACCCAAGATGCAGAATCCCCAGAACAACTCGAGGCAGGAGTGGTTTAAGAAAATATGTCCTTTATTTAAAGGAGGATGCGCCAAAAGTCCAAAGGCACAACAGAAGCTCGCTCATGAGCATGAAGTTGGAGAAACTCGAGAGGGACAGAACAACGCTGACACATACAATGGACCGACAACACTGAGAGACACCTGCAGGGCTATATACACAGAGGGAAGCAATCAGGGAAACAGGTAGCTGGTGTGTGGGAAGTGTGAGCTGAAGGGATCAGGAGAGACTAATGAACTAAATGGGGAAGGAACGCATTGTTAAAGGAAAAGACTGACAGGATAATATAACTATACAGAGAACTGAAGATAAGAGAGCTAATAAACCTGAAACTAGACACCAGAAAAAACACTAAATCTTCAGCTTGGGGAACTAAAGAGACAGGAACCAGAAGAGAGGGGATCTATGGAGAGACTAGACTAAATTGGATGGGATAACTAAGTATAAAGTGACCAGGAAGAAACATGAGGGGAACCTGGAAGGGGCTGGGGACCACAAGGAGCACAAGACCTGAGGGAACACCTGGAGGGAGAACAGGAGGGCACTGGGGACCAAAGGGACACAGAACATGACAAAACCACTAAAAACTAGTGTAAATACACCACGTGTAAGTCTTTGATGGTGTAACTGGAACTCATTAGATTGGTATTTGAGCTCAAATGCTGAGCAATGAGCTGTACAATCACAGCTGCACTCCTAAATAAACACTTTTAATCTGTTGTACAACTTTTTAAAGCCGAAGTACACTGTAAAATCTGATTAGTTAACCTTACTCGAAAAAAGTATGCAAAACTTAAAATAGCAAGCACACAAGAGTAAGTTATTATGTGTTTGAGCTACTTAAATGTACTAAGAGTAAAGACAAAAAAGTAGTAAGTACATAGACATTTGCTTACTGTTTGCTACTGCTTCAGTAGTTGCAACTCAAGTTCAGTAGTGTACTGCGTGTTTACTAGTTTGTCTTAAGCCTAGTTTATAGTACTCTTTCTGCTGAGGTGCGGAGACACGCCACACCATTATATGTTGATGCAAAGGCATGCAAAGACAGACAGAGTAGAGCCCAGTTTTTTAAAATATCCATCGAACACAATGGATAGCGCACATCTGTGATTGGACGGCCCAACAACGGCGGCAACTGCTGTCTCTGTCGCTCCCATTGAATTATTTGTAACAAACGTTTTAATCATGCAAGATCAAGCAGTTCAAGCTTGATGAAAATTCACCCTCTGTAGCTTAGTTCATGCTTCTCCGTCTGCATCGGTATGGAGACATGCAACGCCATTATCCGTCGCGAGGGCTCTCCAGCAGGCATGCAAGGACGGACGAAGTTGAGCCTAAAATTTTCATTTTAACCCATACCTCCCTCCAGAAATTTGCTTTTAAAGGCTCACGTACAAAAAATTTGTCAGCAGGCCCGCCAGAGAAGGTCTACGCCCCCTGCTGTCCTGGTGGAGAATTTCTCCACAACACTAATGGAAAAGCGTAACAGGAAAATGCCTTCGTCTATTCTTGTGCGGAGAAATACAAACTAGGCTTTAGTTGTAGTAACTTTCATTTAAGAGCATTTTACTTTGCACGCATTAGTACTTAAATAACTATTACTGTGTACTGATTATTTGAAGTGCATCGGGTGAGAACACGTTACTGTAGCATGTTGTTTTTGTGTTCTGTGCCTTTGCAGGCCGCCTCCTGGCCTCTTTCAGGAGCAGCTTTGGTCACCTGGTGGCTGATGGGATGTCGGAGGTGTACGTGAAGAAAACCAAAGTTCCTGAGAACCCTTGATGAGCCTGAATCGCAGCTCGGTGAAGCAGAAATGCTGCGTTTAGGAGAACTGAAGTCTGTCTGTGAACACACCGACCTCAGCGAGGCTTTTTAGACGAGGTGCAGCGCGTTTGAAGAGAGCGACTGAATGTGTTGTATTTATAAGGCTTCTGCTCACTGACTGTTTGATCTGCCTGCCAGCTCCCTGCCTCTGCCAGCTACTATTTAAAGGGATTTCCCTTCAGGTACAATTAAGGAGGGAGAGCCTTGTACCCTAAACTTTTTCCCCTCCTAATTTGTCTTTATTTGCCATGTGTGCTGGCTTTCGCTGCGAGGCCGAGTCCCTGTAGTCAGATTTTTTTATTTTATTATTTAAGCCAGAGCGGCATGCTGCAGCTCAGCGTTTCAGGCCTTAGGAAGAAAAAAGAATACAAGCTCTTATACAAATATACTTTGATTAAACACACCATGGTTTGGACTGTTGATAAATATATTTTTTACGGCTGTCTGGCTTTGTTGCACCAAGAAATGGAGACAGCAAATACCGTGCAGGCATTTGCACATCACCAATGCGCAAAGATTATAAAAACCTTTCCAGAGCTGTCTGTTTTTTGTAAAATTAGCAAAAAATATTTATGCAATCAAGTGAAATGTAATTCTTCTTACATGTTACTGCATTAAGTGCACCTTGTGGGTGAAACTTTTATTTTTCAATGAAAAATGAATCACTTTACTGTTTTTTTAATAACACTTCACTTGTATCTGTGTAATTTGTACTTTTACAGTTTTTTAAAAACTATTTAAAATGTAACAGGAGCTACTAGTCTGATTATTTCTCATTAGCACCTTTTGTGTGTTTTAGAGGGGGGGGGGGGGTTGCTTGAGTATGCAATGTGTGTTTGTGTGCTTTTAGTCCTTTATCTACTCCCATACCCCCACATCTGCAATCTCCAGCCCGTCTGAATGGCCCAAATTGCGAAACCTGCGGATCTCCGCAGAGTTTGCACAATACCAGAGGAATGCATTCAAATGCTCCACCATGCTGTGCTCATTATGAGCCTTAATTAAGACATGTAAAGGAGCTTACTGACCAGGGCTTTCTCATGATGGGGTTAGAAGGTCAATGATGGAAGACAAAGGCAGAGATCTGGAGTTTGCACAAGAATGACCAGCCAGGAGGAACCCAGAGGAGCAGGCCTGCAGGAAGGTGATGCTGAGGATAAAACCACCACATGCACAGTGAACTCTCAAAAAGAAAACATTGGTCCTGTTCCTTCTACACACACAAAAAAAGCTTAAAATTCCAAAAAAAAAAAAGGTGCAGAGCTTCCTTCACTATTCAGTTCTGCTGCTGTCTGACTTGAAAGGACATGTTTCTGTCTAAAGATGATCTTTATAGGCAACACCAGGCCTCAGGGTCCTCTTTGCCTCATGTTGGCCTCTTGTTGTCTGGACAAAGACGCTGATTAGACTCTTGATGATACAGATAAAGAGTCTGAGAGAGATTAGATAAAACCAGTTTTCAGGATCAACTCAGGCTGACTGGAGAAACCGGTGTATTTCATCTGGGTAACTATAAACTTTGGTGACACAACTCATTGTAGAACAACTAGAAACTGAGTTGACCCGTTTCATGAGTTATAACTGGTTATAATCAAACTAGTATAAGATAACAAACAGACAGACAAATGGGCTGTTTGAGATCTTTTTAAAGGGGACGTATGACTTTTTCTCAAGTTACAATAGTTCACTTGTCCACAAAGAACATTTTTATGAAGTTCTTTGCACTAAATCCCTCCCACAAAAAGCAATTTTAGCAATTTTGTTTTGGGTATTCTTAGTACCTTCCAGAATGAGCCATTTCAGGGTTTTGTCATCATCTGTGGAACACTAAAAAAACATTTTAAAATCATTATTTCTGATTGTAATTGGCCAGTCGAGGCTGAACGTGAAAAAAGTCTCCTACACATATTTCCTGCATTCGCTTCTGATAGAAAACAGACTGTCACTACGTTTACATGCAGCCAATATCCGGGTTATGATCGGGTTAAGGTCAGTATTCGGGTTTCTGAGTTGATCAGAATAACCCGTTTACAAGCATAAATAGAAAGAGTTACCACTAACTTGCATAACCCGATTTAAATGTGGGCATTGGGGAAGCGTCAGGACGTATGGACTACGTCCAGACGCAATATGAGTCATTTCCGGTTCTTCTTGTTCCGGTATCCGTGAAAACAACAACATGTTTCCCAGTTCGGAAGAGATAGCGACCGCGTTTGTTTGCGCTTTAGTTTCCTCGTCACTCCAAAAGTGTGGTGCTGTGCGGCGACTCGCCATGTTGCTCCCAACTTGTTGTTTACTTCCGGTGTTCTGGCGGATACAAGACGTCTCGCTACTCAAAAGACCAAGATTCCTTGCGAACAGAGCATGTGCAGAACACACGCTTTGATGGGATATCCCGATATGCGTTTACACGACCAAACATTCGGGTTAGAAAAGGGTTACCCCAGGTGTAGTAACCGGGTTTTTAAAAACCCGGTTATGAGCATATCCGGGTTTTTGGTGGTGTTTACATGGACCTGCGGAACTGGGTTATTGTGAATATTCGGGTTTTAAAAGGGTTACTGGCTGCATGTAAACGCACTCAGTGAGACTCTAGGATTTGAAATGCCTGACAGATCTACGTCACACTTTCACTTAACATTTATGGACTCACCCATCTTGGCTTGTGAAAAGGAAGGCTGTTGTTTTAGTGAAAACAGCAGAGAACATCTTGACTAGTAAAAGCAAACCATTAGCATTAGCAATTCCACCACACAGCAGAACTCCTTCAGGCTTGTGTTATTTGTTGAGATAAAACATCAACATTGCAAAACCAACAGAGTCATATTGCCGTTAGCCAATCAGAGGAGAGATTTTCAAATATCATGACATAAGAGTCCAAATCCTGTCGTCTGAAGCTCTTCTCTGATGTGGCCATTTTTTACTTCCTGAAGCAGGTGTACCGGAGCTTTGTTCTCCCAGAGTATGACTTACAAGGCATTCATGCCGCCTGAGACCATTGCAAATATATTGATTAAATGAGTGATCCACACCAAACCAAGATGGCGCTGGCCACGCCCACTCTCCCCCACTCAGACTATAAGCTGAGAAGTTCCGATATCTGGAAGGAGCTCAAAGTAGAGCTGCTGCTCCTCCAGTGTTGACACACAAGTGGTTATTCTATCATAATTTTTCAGTTTGTGACATCACAAATGGGGACTTTTTAAAACAACTTGTTGTAGGCCCAAGAGAAAACAAATGGATGGATTTTCTTCAGGTTTGGAGTGTTTAGGCAGTAGAGACCCACGTGGCAGCACAAAAGAATTCAAAATTTGAGTTTTTCCTAGTATGTCCACTTTAAACTCCAAATTGTCTTTAACAATAATTAATCTTTAAAAAAAAAGATACGCTTCAGTGAATTCATTTTTGCTCTGCTCATTCTTCATATCTGTTTCGAGGACGACTGCTCTGGCCTGTGACCGGGTTTATTTTGGCAGCCTCTTTGGCAGAACTAATGAATGTTTTGGCTTTGCACGGAGATTGCATATGTTTTCTTAAAGTTCAAATGTTTTAAAATAATTAATAAATGCAGAGCAGGCCATGACAGATTGCAGCCATGCTCTCCAAATGGTTTAGATGCTGTGTGAAAGTTTGTTCAAACTCCAGATTTACTTTAAAAATGCTAAAATATGAAGACAGAAAGGTCTGCTGCATGTTTTAAGAACAGACATGTTTACATCTGTGTTGCATCAGCTCGTCGTCTAGCAGCACTTTGGAAAGAAGACAAATTGCTGCTGTGAAATGTTTCTCATTCCACTCTGATGCAAGTTTCAGCTCCTGGTTTTGGGGGTCTTGAAAAGTGTTTCAGAAGTGCAAAATATTTCCATTGGGTGACAAATCCAGAGAGCAGGCATGCCATTATGCACAGAATGCGTCAAACGTTGCAAAATGACGCCATATTTGTTGGATTTTGCTTTTAAATGTTGACTTTGAGATTTTTTTTTGCCTTAAAGTATTTTTGTCACATTTAATTTTCCAAATTTTTGTGACAAAAGACGTTTTTTTAAATAATTTCTGATTAAACTCATTTTTACTCATGCACCCATCCTATAAAGGCTCTTTCTCTGCTCTCAGGTCGGATGTGTCTCCTGGGGTTTGTGAATCAGCGCCCTGCTCTGTAGTTGGTCCCAACATGTTTTTTTTTGTGTTCTCCGCTGAAAGTATCACTTTCTATCCCAGCTTTTTTTGCTCCTAAACTCCGTTTGGAGCTTTAAATGTTGTCCACAAGCTTTTTTTGTGTCTGAAACTCTTTTTTTTCTGAGTGTTTGAAGATGTTTTTCACATTTGCCGTGTGATGAAAGATGTAAAACACAATCATGTCCTTGTGTTCATGTGTGGCACACTGTTCCTTTGTGTTTAAAGCATGAAATTGACAAGCTGGTCTTTTTTTTAGAAAGGTTCAGGGAATGAGCGGGGGAGGAGTATGATTGTTTTTCTTTTTTCTCTTTTTTTTTTACTCAGCTCCATGCCGCTCCATTTCTGTTTTTTTAAGTTTCTAGTTTCAGCCGACTTGTTTCCGTCAGGTTTTATTCATGACCTCCATCTGGAAATAATATCAGCTCATGAAAACAAGCCATCAGCAATTTTAGGAAAGAGTGTGTGTGTGTGTGTGTGTGTGTGTGTGTGTGTGTGTGTGTGTGTGTGTGTGTGTGTGTGTGTGTGTGTGTGTGTGTGTGTGTGAGTGTGCGTGTGCACTTCTTCTTCTTCCTCTGTGGGGTTCAGGCTCCGTCGATGTGTTGGTGCAGTCAAATCGACACGTATGACTAAACTCCAAAGCCTCCGCCATCCTCTCCTAAAATCCCGCTCAAATACTTTTTTGTGGTCTGGCTGGAGTCTCTGATTCAAATGCAAACGTTGGAAACTTCAGTTGCTGGGAGAAATTACGTGTCAGGCAGGTCTTTGGCAAAACGTTTGACCTTGGCTCAGACTAAAAATATGCATTAACTCAGTGAAAGCCTGCATAGTTCCACAGGAAAGAAGATCTGGCTTGTGTTAGAGCTGCTCACGGGAGCGTACGCAGCCTGAGATGGGGGAGATAGAGCAGATATTCACTCCGCTCCAGGCTCGCTGAAACACCTCTCTGATGGAAAACCCTTCGGCGTTCCATAGGCTGTTTCTGTCTGCCGCCTTGGCCGTGGCACACAGGAGACAGGCTTGGTCACACCTGAGAGCCTCTGAAGACTAGCCAGGCATTCAGCATGTCCGTCCCCAGCACAGAGGCGTCTTAGTCTGCAGGCCCGTCCAACTGTCCAAGTGGGTATTTGTCTGTCTGCCCGAGTTGATACGATCTCTTTTAGAGCCATGATGGCTTTAGCAGCCCCCAAAGGAGAGAGCAAGTAGGTGTGTGAGAAGAGAGGTTTCATTTCTGGCTGTCTGCGTCAGGCGGAGCGGCTTTTTTTAATTTAAGGCCTTGAAGTTAACCTCCAGTCGAAAGGTTTATGCATGCCTCTAAAGCCACAAGGGCATCATGTAGGTGTAACAGCTCTGCACTGTATCCTGTAACAAGTGATTACTGCTCTGTGTTCCACGCATTTCATAAACAAAACCCTAAAAAGTGTCACTTAGTTTCTGCTTTAGTAAAGAAGTCTGGAAGCATTTCAAAAACTCTCTTTGGTTATGAGATCCCCACATGTTTTCTGGCTCTGCACAATCCCCCCTCCTGAACACACACCACTACATCACAGCAGCAGTCTGGGTCATTTTTCTTTT